AAGATCGGGAGCAGGACAAGTTTGAACATCTGGAAAGTTCTTCCCGGTGTTCCTTCTGGAATCTCCCCCACAAATAATATCCGACGGAACCCAAGAGGGAAATACAACGGAGATTTAGAACCAGCCAAGCAGTGTAACACATGGTTTTTTCGTGTTTCGCCTTTTGATCTCGCAACGTCAACAGCTGGAAGAGGATCGCACAGATTAAAAAATTTAGCCCACCCGTTAAATTATCTCAAGTACCGGTCCGGCACCATTCCAATATCTGCAGCTTTTCTGCACGTGGTTAAGGGGGAATCTCCAAAAAAATCTGTCCAGATCATCTGGGTCAAAGCTACAGAGTTTGCTAGGCGCAGCTATAAGATCGTAACACCGAGACAGAGGTTGGACGTGATCATCTCGAACCATCTGAAGGAGACTAGAATGGACACCAAATTCAGACAAGGGGGGGAAAAAAAGAGAGAGAGATAAAAGACTACAGAACTAGAATTCCTCAATTTGACTCTAAAGAGAAATGCAGTCTTCAAATGGGGGGATGGTTTTGCAAAACCAAATTAAGAAATACTTGAAACAGGGCAGTAAAATATATAGGATGCATTTGTTCCCCCCAAAACGGACATAGTAAATAACTTATTTAAAGTGTCTAGTTGCAAATGTTCTACGGATCCGCGCGAAAAGAGGCAGTATGCAGTCTCTACGTAGCCAGTTCAAGGAAAAGCCGTGGCTGATCTGGATAGAAAACCGATCGGCAGGAGAACCAGGGGACTTAAAAAAAGTGTGATGTTTTCAGATTGCCGGAGTTTCAGAGGGTGCCCTCCTCAAAGAAGCCGATTCCAAAAGAGAGAGAGAGAGAGAGAGAGAGAGAGAGAGAGATAAAGAGAGAAATAAAGAGAGAGAGAGAGGAAGAGAGAGAGAGGAAGAGAGAGAGAGAGAGAAATAAAAAGAGAGAGAGAGAGAAATAAAAAGAGAGAGAGAGAAATAAAGAGAAAGAGAGAGAGAAAGAGAGAGAGAAAGAGAGAGAGATAAAGAGAGAGAGAGAAATAAAGAGAGAAAGAGAGAAATAAAGAGAGAAAGAGAGAGAGGAAGAGAGAAAGAGAGAAAGAGAGCGAGAAAGAGAGAGAAATAAAAAGAGAGAGAAATAAAGAGAGAGAGAGAGAAATAAAGAGAGAGAGAGAGAGAAATAAAGAGAGAGAGAAAGAGAGAGGAAGAGAGAGAGAGAGAGAGAGAGAGACCTGATTCCGTGAAGATTATAGTATTTCCAGATCCACATGCCGTACTTCAGGATTCAGTTTCTGAAATGAAATTAATGATGTTTACTTGGCTGAAAAAATAAGACTGCACATTATCAACACTGAAGTTTGCAACTGAGCCTGGGGCTGGATCTCCACATCCATTTGCTCCATTCAGGCGACCTTCAGGACACAGGCAAAGCACCAAGTGGCTTCAATGACCCTCTAACACAGGGCTTTTCAACCTTTTCACCCAGTGTACCACTTTTAGGAGATGGCGATATCCGAGTACCACCAGTCGCCTAGCAAGGGGTCAAAAACTTGATGATTAAAAAAAAACAAAAAAACCAGAAAAACCAGAAAAAAGTGATGAAGCACAGGTAGTCCTCGACTTACAACAGTTCGCTTAGTGAATGTTCGAAGTTACAATGGTACTGAAAAAAGTGCCCCCCAAGCCACAGCCGAGCAAGACACTTGCCTGCCCATCCGGTGGCGCTCTTCCTCCTGTCCGAGGTTTCCATTGTTGTGAGCATTTCTGTTGGGGATTGGCAGCGGGGGTGGGGTGGGGTGGTGTTTGGTTTTTATTCCCCCCCCCCCCCGTCTGCTGGGTGGTTGCAGCAGGTTTTGGTCACTTCACATGACCCTGGGACACTGTGACCGTCATAAATATGAATCCGTTGCCAAGCATCTGAATGCAAATCACAAGACCCTGGAGAGGCTGCAACATTCCAGCTGATCGGCGCTTCTTCTGGGCTCAGCGGAAGCGCCAGGATCAGCGCCGAGCTCCAGCTGGACTCTGGTGCTGATCCTGGCACTTCCATTGAGCCCTGACAGCCCCGAAGAAGTGCCGATCAGCCGGAAAGCGGCACTGATCCTGGCGCTTCCGCTGAGCCGACAGCCCTGCAGCTCCAGCCGTCTCTCGCTCAGGCTTGTGCGGTGCTGCCACCGGTTCAGCTCATTCCCCCCCCTGCTACCCCTTTTCTAGGATGGTCGCGTACCACCTGCCAGGTGCCCATGTACCACAGGTGGTACCCGTGCCACTGGTTGAAAAGCCCTGCTCTAAGAGAATGCAAATGACCAGCTCTCTGCAAGGAGTATAAATCCTTCCGTTCCCCCCACCATCCAGTCAGAGCTGAAGAAGCTTCTGGGATGAGAAGCGAAACGTCTTCAAAGAAAAAAAAAACAAGATTAAGTCCAGCTGCCAGCCAGAAAAAAGCACCTTTGGGGATGCTTATCCTGAAATATCCTTGCTTTCCTGTGGGAGCCCCCCCCCCCCAGAGATTTTCCCGGTCCAGCGTGACTAGCAAACTCACCTTTTATTCCCGCGTATATTTGTTTGGCCGGCCATTCGGCCGGCCGCTACTCACCTTCAGATCCTTTTCAAGTCGATCCACCTCTGCTCCTAAAGTGTCAATGATGTTTTCTCCATGTTTAAGCATGAAAGCCTCTAAATCTTCCAGAGTTTTCACCTGCTGGATCTCCTGCCGTCGGATCAAAAAATAAAAAATAAAAAATGGAAAAGGTTAGCAAAGAAGAAAAAGGACGAATTGTTGCCTAGCGAAGACCGGTTTTTTATTTTTTTATTATTTTTTTTCCCAATTTTTTTTTATTATTTTTCATCATAAAAAACAATCATAATCCAGTAAACAAAGTAAAAAATTAAATCCCCCACCCCCCCCCGGACTTCCCAAACCTAGTCCCAGGATAATATTCGTATATGAGTAAACAAATACTAATATCTCTAACTCCACAAAATGTTTTATTTTTTTATTTTTTAATTTGCTCTTTTAAGTTACTTTCCAGGATTTCTAACACACCTGATAGGATATATGAATATCAATTGATATGATATAAATTGATACGATAGCAGACCGGGACACCGATCTATGCAAGTCTATGGGAGCTCAATGCAATTCAGAGATTTCATCTGCAAAATTAATATTTAGAACCTCAGATTTCCCCACCTCACCCCTTTT